TGCCCTTGTGGAGAAGATCTGATGTGAACCCAGAGGATGAATCCTATTGAGATCGTGGATGGCTTTGCAGCATCTTGTGCCACTTCACTGATCTCTGGTCGTGCTAACAGTGGACTGGAAGGAGCTGCAGCCCTGCCCAGCTTCAGGGGCTGCAGGCTGGAAGCCTACATGTGCCAGATGTGCCTTGTCTGCAGCCCCAGAGCTGTGTCCCTGAGCCCTGTGTGATCTCGGGAAACTCTATGGCCACTTGCTGATGTCCTGCAGGCTCCAGGCTGTGCCCCACTGTCCCCCTTCCCACTTCTGCTGTTGTCCTACCGGAGCTGAGAGAAGGGGGGAAAGGGATGGCTGGCAACCATGTGGGAAGCTTCAGGCTTTTATCTCAGATCTGGGTTTTCAACAGATGTGGTGTGAGCAATGGCTGTAAGGCAACTAGATCAGCATCATTGCTCAGAGATTAAAGGATTTAATAATCTGCTGGCAAGATGTAATTGAAAGAGGCAGAGCTCTGGTTGTACAGCGCTCAACAAACGCACTGGGGTGTTCCCACGCTCTCCCTGGGATCCCTCCAAACCCTCCTGTAAGCAGAATAAACCCTCAGTGCATGTGGGGCAGGCCCTTTTCTATATAGATCCAGGGGCTAATGCTTCATCTTCCTTTGTAACATTCTTCTAGGGAGTCCTTCATTCAGTGATCCCAAGGCATAAGGAACAGGGGTTGGTGTAGTCAGCGCCAGTGAGTGTCCGGGCACTGGAGGAAGTGGTGCTGCTACTTGCCAGAGGTCAAAGCGTCATTCAGCAGCAGCAGTGAGCCAGCAATTGCTGCTTCTCAGTCCCTTGTTCTAATCGCTGCTCTGCTGCCTGGTGAAAACCCTTAGAAAACAAGGCAGTGACTGGCTCTGCAAAGCACTGATGACAACAATGCGGAGCTTCTTCCCCTGCTTGTTGGTAGGGTGGGATCATGACCCAGCACAAGCAAGTGATGCTGTGACCAGAAGACAGAAACTTTTGGCAACAGGCAGAGGGGCTGAGCCTCTTGGAGGGGGCAGAAGCACAGGAAGATCGAGGTCCTTCAGTATAAAACATAGGGAAAGAGCCCCTGCGAGTGAATGGCCAAGGTCTGTACTGTCGCGTGGTGGAGGTCTGGCACGTCACATTGCCAGCAGGTCTTCCCCATTACACTGCATGGAGCTGGACTGGGCAGCAGTGAGGGCAGAAAGCTCCTTGGACATGTCCAAATGTGCTGGGAGCCCTGCTGAGCTGCCTGTGCTGGCACTGCCTCGCCAGAAGCCAAGCTGAGGTGACTGGGCAGAAATAAGAGACGTGCCTGGTACATTGAGCCCTCTGCCAAAGGTTCTGAGCCTTGCACGACCTTTCCATCTTCCCTGCTGCCTGGAAATGCTGACCAAGTCCTGCTCTCAGTGGGGTAGTGCCAGATAAAACAGAAAATGGGGGAGAGGGTTCCCATTTCAGCGATGTGGAGCTGCCTTTCTTGCTTCTGTTATTCTCTGGTTGTCTACTACAACCCTGCCTGGGAGGTAGCTGTGGTAGGAGGCAGGGATGTGTGATCCAAAATGGTGAAAGTCTGACTCCACCAGCAGTGGTGGTAGGAGCTGTGGCATGTCCTGCTGCTGCTGAACAGCTGTATCAGAAGCTGCGTGGCCTGCCTGTATGGATCAGCTGGAGGCAGGAGGGTGTCTGGGGAGCCTGGTGAGACCCCACACCCCATATGCAAGCATCTGCAAAGGAGAAAAGCATCGCTTTTACTCCCCCTCATAAGGAATTCATCCTTCCACCAAAGCTTATTTCTTACATGAGGTTCTCCAAGGGTGTCTCACCCAGCTCCTGGGTATGGTTTGGTATTTATTTAGAGTTCCCTTTCCTTCATAACAACAGCGAAATCACACAGGCATCTGGGCACTGATGTGCCTGCAGAGGGGTGGCTGCAGCTCAGAGCTCCCCGTCTGGTGCCTGGGTAGTTGCAGCGTGGAGGGTACTGTGGTAACTGCTGCTAAGAGGATAATGTTGCATGGGACCAGGTAAACCAACTTCAGCCCCTTTCCTGCTCCTCCTCAGTCAACCTCCTGAGCATTTGAGGCTGTTACTGTCACCTCTGCCAGGGCTCTAGTCCTTGCATAAGTTTTGGGTTACAGCCATTCCTGAAGTGGAAGCTAAAGGTGACCAAGGGCTGGGAGGGTCTGTGCCAGAGGGCTCCATGGGAGCTCACCCCGCAAGGTCAGGAACAAGAAATGGAGCAGAAGCTCCCCAGACACCCCAACCTGTGCCTGCAGCTGAGCAGTGGGGCTCCTGTCCCTGCCTTGGCTGGGGGAGGAGTTGGCGAAAACAAAGCTGCTTGTTCTCTGTGGCTGCTGATGCCTCCTGGATGACAAAGATCTCTTCCATCCCCATGCACACCAAGGGCTGGGCCCTGCTTTGTGAGAGGATTTGAGTAACCAGCCAGCCCAGCACATCGCCGCTCTCCCCAGGCAAACCTCCCCAAACTTAAATACTGTTGCGCAACTCGCTGCTCATGATTCACTTTTCCCCTGCCCGCTGTGAGATCTGGAGGGCATGCATCTGCGGTGTGGTGTTGTAACTCCTGCTGCTCAGTGTTCCTGGCAAGTGGGCTCTGACAGCCAGGAAGAGGTTGTCCCCTTCCACCCCATTCTTCCTCATTCAGCGATTATCCCTCTCACGTCACATCAGTGCCCTCCTGAGATCAGGACAGAAGAACCTTGTGATGATGTGGTAGGGAGAGTTGTGAGAACTGTACAATCTCTCACTGGACATCTCCAAATCGACCAGCGCTGCGGTGATGGTTTCTCAACCAGGACCAACCCAGAGCCCTTGTCCTTGATGGGGTGTGTCCTTGGGACTGGTTCCCATGAGGGGTAACATTTAACTCAGGGCCAGTCTTAGACACCAGACAGAAAATACTTTGTCTTGTTTGCAGTGTGACTTCATACAGCTTCCTCCCTAGGATCCTAAGAGATAAACTCCTTTGAAGCCCATGAACAAGCTCTTTAGGACAAAAGGATATTGTAAGCAGTAGTGCAAACACCTAGCGATGTGCTTGTGCTCATGCACCTTTGGGGAGTGGCTGGAAGCTGCCTGCCCATTGGTCCCCACTTGGTACCCATGGCAGTGCCCTTGCTGCAGAGCTCTCCATGGGTACCAGCAGTTCTTTCCTTATCTGCCCAGTTGTGAATAGGAAGCGTTTCACATGGTGCCCTTAAACTGATCCAGCAAAGCACTAAAAATAAACCTTCGCTGTGAAGGCACAAACTCCTGCCCTGCTGTGTCAGCTCCAGGAGAGAACCCACTGACAGAGCTCAAGGCTTCTTGAGATGAAGGCTTGCTCCCCCGAACCCATGTGCCTGCAAGCAGGAGTTGTGAAGGCAGAGAAATCGAAACACAAAGGGAAGAAACCTGCGTGTTTGCCTTCAGAGCTGTGCTAGCTGTGCTTCAGGAAGGGCTGGGCAGGAGAGATGCGACTCCTGTTAAACCTTTTGAGGCAACTCATCCTGCAAACAGTGGGAAACCACTGATTGCGGAACACTTAATTATGTGAGCGAAACGCAATTGGCAGCGTGCTGGATGGCACCGCGGGACAGCGTGCGCTCGGCAAGGGCTGCTCCTCCCCACGCTGAAGCACTGAGGTTCTGGCAGCCCCTGGCTATGGGCCATCTTGCGTGGCTTCAGCACCTCGGCTCTGGTGGCACTGCCTTGCTGCACAGTGACAGTGGGAGTTGTGACCAAACCTTCGTGCGGCCAGCCCTCGCCATTCAGCTGCCTGCGTCCGTAACACACCATGGCCCCAACTACTCCCTTCCAGCCCCTTGGACAGTCTGGTTTTCACCCTCGTTTCTGGCAGAGCCTGCACAAGGCTGCTGATCGAACACCCCTCAGCACAGGACCTGGCTGCAGCTGCTCATGGGAGCCATGGCTTGTCGTGCTCAGGGACCCGGCAGCAGTGCCCCGGGCTCTGCGGTGAGGCTGCGGTGGGACTGGCGGGTCCCGGGCCCGTGGAGGCCGCCAGATGCTCCGGATCACCCCTGGGCAAAAGGGCTGCCGGGGCGCAGTGACCCTCCCCCAGGGCACCCGCCGCCAGGGGGCAGCCCCCGCCCCGTCCCGCCCCACCGGGGATCGCGCTGTGCCCTGCTCCCTTACACCCCACCCCGCCCTGTGATGTCACCCCGGGGAGGAGGGGAGACTGGCAGGCCTGTGTAGCCAATGGAAACTCGGCGAGCAAGGCAAGGAGGCGGGACTTCCGCCGGCCTGCCAGAGCAAGGGTGGGAAGGCGGGTCCACCGCCCCCACAAGCTCCGCCCCCGGCTCGCGGCCGCTAGCTCGGGTGACGTCACCGTGCGGGGGCGCGCACGCTACCGTCCCTTCTGTTCCTCCTTTGCGGCCTTATTGCCACCAGGGGGGTGCGTGTGCGTGCTGACGTCAGGGCGTGCGCGCCCCCGCCCGGAGGCCTGCGCGGTTACCGAGCGGCGCGCCCGCGCAGGCTCGGTCAGCGGCTGTGGGGAGCTGTCGCCGTCCGGGGAAGCCGCTCCGGGACGAGCCGAGTCGAGCCGAGGGGTTATGAGTCCGGGCGCTGCCGCCTCCCTGTGAGGAGCAGCGGGCCCGTGGCGGCGCGGGGAACGCGCCAGGCTCTGGGGCCGCCCCGCGACAGGAAGCCATTTTGTGGGCCCCCTCCTCCTCCTCGTCCTCCTTCGCCGCCGCCCTCGCGAGCGGCGCGGCCGTTGCTACCGGCCGGGGTGGGCGGGCGGACCCGCGGCGGGGGCGCCCGGTGAAGGCGAGGGGGTGAGCGGGGGGCCGGAGCGGGCGGCGGTGGCCGCCGCGCCTCCCCATGGCGAAGAAAACCTACGACCTGCTCTTCAAGCTGCTCCTCATCGGGGACTCGGGGGTCGGCAAGACCTGCGTGCTCTTCCGCTTCTCCGACGATGCCTTCAACACCACCTTCATCTCCACCATCGGTCAGTGCCACTTGCTGCCCCCCTCCCTTGGGGCCCGGTTCCCCGCGGCCGGCCCCCCTCTTTCCACCGTGGTGGGCGCCTGCCCGGGGCTTTACCCTGTTCTCTGCGCCCTGCCTCTCAGCTCTCGGTCGTGTTTTAAAGGTTGGACGGAGGATTCTTGAGGTCCTCTCTAACCTGGGGTTCTGTGGTATTTTGTGGGATCCTCCCCTTGTGTCACGATGTCCCCGGGGACCCCCTGTCCCCACCCTTTCACCTCCTTGCTCTCGCTGTCGACGCAGAATCCTCGCCTTGGTCACACCCGACGCCGGCTTCGCCTCTGCTGCGGGGAGAAAGGATTTGGTTTCTCTCCACAGTCGGGTGCAGCAGTTTTCCCGGTGGCCCCAGCGACCTCCCTTGGGGCATGCTGGCAGCCTGTCCCCACATGCTCTGCCAGCTCCCAGCGAGGGCCCACCTGGCTCCTTCCATCACCGGCTCATCCCCAGCTCCTGTGAGGGCGGTGGGGTGGCCATCCCTGCACAGTGTCTTCACTGCTATTGATGTGGCTTAGCAGAAATGATCACGCTCGTGGGTGGGGTCTGTTTCCTCACCCAACAAAGCTGTCCTTCCCTGTCTGCAAGCGAGCTGCTGGGCTGCTGGCAAAAGTGACCTTTCAGTGGTGCGCAGCTTCTCATTAAGGTAGTCTTCTTGACATCATGAAGGAGAGCTGTGTGTTTCGCTAGGCTTTCCTCTTTCCATTTAGTCTGTGTTGTGAGACAGGCTGTATACCTAATGTCCTTTCTCCCTAGGTTTATTGCAGCGTTTTTCTTTCTCAACATCATCTTCTTTTGCAGATGGAGAGTTCAGGTCAGCAGTTTCTAACCTTCTCAGTGAGTGACTCTGGCAATTTAAGGGAATTCATGCCTCCATTCATTCTTGCAGTACCCGTTGGTGTAATGAGTGTAGATGCCTACATCTGGAAAAAAGGAAATTTTGGCAGAGGGTTGAATTGGATCTGGCTTTCTGTGCGTGATACAAATCCCTTAAATGATTGGCCCTACAGCCATTCACCAAGGGTAGGAAAACACAGAGTGTAAATCTTAGTACTAGGTGTGTGTGCACTCCTGTGTACTTCCTCATCAGTGTTGAAATGTCACCCTAAAGTTGCATCTCAGACTATGAGATGTAAAAAGTGCTCTTAAGCAAGCCTTGGGTAATTTAAAGGGAGAGAATGTATATTTGGGGCAACTAAGTGTCAAAACACAGTTGCCTTTAAGATCTAAGATCTTAGGGTCTCAACTCATTGGTTTGCATAGTTGCTCTGGGGGATGCACATGGGAGTCACTTAATCATGTCTCTTACCATTGCATACCTTGACTAAGGAAGGCTGTATTTGTTGTGCTGCTGTGGCCATAGTTTAACTTTGCTTGGTGAATTCCCGCCTGGATCACATGGTGTTTGTTGCTTTCCGCGTTTGCTGGGAAGGTTTACTTCAGTTCTCAAAGTTAAAAATAGTCAGTGTCTCAGTTAAGAAGTCAGCGGGTGTATGGCGGCTCTCACTTCAGAGAACTTGTGCTTTCAGTGACCAGTAATTTTCAGTAATTAGTATTAGTGGTTGGTCTAACTGCAGTTGAGTGTTCAAGCAGAGTAACATCAGGTTTCATAGCAAGAGTACATGTGCGGAGTTTGGAAGCATTTTGGAGTAGTCAAACCAATTTAGACCAGTGGGTATTTATTTCTGGAGTGTATAAATTGTTTGTAGTGCATGTAGACTGACAGGCAGACAAGCTTTATTTCCTAGATTCTGAACTAAGTGTCTAGTTGTGGTGGTGGTGAACACCACTCAGTGACTAGTTGGCGTGTTGGAGCGTGTCAGACTTGAGTCTGCATAGTGGAATTTAGTAGATTTGGGGGTACAAAGAGATTTTTGTGTGTGGTGCTGAATTCCATTCCCAAATAGATCTTAAATGTATTGTTTGCTTAGTTCTTCTGGAAGTAATTGATTAAAGAGGAAACCTCTTGAGAAGGTGTCCTGTACAAGAAGTGTCAGTTGAAAGGAAGACTCTATGTTAGCATGTTTTAAAGAGCAGCCCATCCATGAAGGAAGAATTCTGAGCTCTGTTAAAATATCTGTCCACCTGGTTGTTCTCCTTGTTGTTACAATAAAGCAACTGAGTAATCTGTGTGAAAGTAATGTTATTTCAAAGTGCTACTGATAACTACAGTGATTAGAATTTCTCAGATTCTCCTCTACTGCAGCAGTGACGCCAGCAATGGCAATCCAGAAATGTGGAAAGGTGCTTTGCCTGCTGGGACCTGCTGCGAAGAATCCCACCACAGCAGCTACACAACTTGGGCTGCTTTTGCAGCTGGAAGCGGAGAGTTTCAGGAAAAACCTCAGGCAGAGTCTTTGACCTGTAGCAACAAGGAAATGCTATTTCCAAAGCACTTGTGTACACAGTAGATGACATTGAAGGTGACTGGCTGAATCTCTCCTTACTTTTGGAAAAAAAAAATACCTGGTAGCTTGTTAGCTCTGATTCATGCTTCTGTGTTTGCACTGAGCTCCACCAAGAACCTGAGATAGCTGAGCATGTAAAATGTGTTCCTTGCCATAAGCAGGGGCTGCTGTTAGATTGTTACAGGAAAAGGGTCTCAAAGAACACTGAAACTAGCCTGTGTGTTAGTTTCATCTTCACACATTTTAAGAACGGATTAAGCATGATCCATGGGGGCAGTTTGGGTATAATTTACTGTATGTGTGATTTGGTATGCTCTCTTCCACGTTTGACTTTGAATCACTTCAGTCCAATATTTCCTGCTAAACCAGCAGTTAAGCTTTTGGATGTGCTGAGGTGTGCGTGTGAATGGTTTCATTACCCTGCCTAGAGGTACTATAAATATCCTGATGGCTCTTCTGCAAGAATCCCTAAGTCATTGTAACCTCCCTGGAGGGAGCAGGGGCCTTGTCTTCAAGTGCTGTGTCGCTGTTTTCAGGGTAGAGAGGGAACAAATTTTAGAAGAAGTAATGTTATCACAAACAGTTTTTAGTTTTAATGACTTTTTGATAATTATGTGGTGCAAAAATAATTTTTAGGGTGTCTATTTTTATTTCTTTTTTTAGAAGTTGTGCTGACTCTCCGGTTTTGCTCTGTGGATACTTTATTCTTGGGTCAAGTCTGGTGATGGTTGTTTGTTTCGGCACTGGTGCTGTTCCCTGGAAGGCTTCTCTTAATGGGCTGCTGCCCAGCCTCCCCTCTCTGCCAGTTTGAGTACTTCATTGCTGCCTCTCATGCTTCCAGCAGGTTTCCTTTATTTTTCATGTTAAAAGTACAAGTAACTTTCAGTCAGGGTATACCCGATATCTTAATCTTTTTTAGTAATTTATTTTTATATTGGCATTCAGTGTGTTAAGTTGATGACAGTTTGAAGTGCAGAGTGGTCTGCTTGAGCTCAGTGGTACGCTTTGCTTTGGGAAGCTCTGTAGAGTGGGCAGTTTAAGTGCTGGCCTTTCCCTGAGCCCAGGCAGGTAGAGAGGACTGCCCTTGCCAGGATGGCTGTCTGAAAGCTTGAATGTCAAAACTGGGCTCAAGCATATAATTGCTATTGTTTGACTAAGTAGAATGCAAATAAAGATGAGTCACAAAATATGCTTTCCCATGAAATCTGACTGCCTCTAGTCCTGTGCTCAAGAGAACAAAGCGTAGGTGATCATGGTGAGGTTTCCTCTGAATGCTGCTGGTGCAGGTGAAGCTGTCATGGATCTAACCTGTACTCAAGGTGTGGCTGTGTTCTGTGTTTCTGGTCTTTGCTCATGCTGACGGCAGCTCTATAAATCCAGACAGAGAGAAAGCAGTGTGGGGTTTTGAGGTCTGAACACAGCAAGGTTTTTATGCCAAAGCTGTGTTAGGATGGTGCAAAACCATGTTGGTTTAAATGCAAAGGTGTAAGAAAACTATATTTTTAATAGTTTAAAATCTCTTTTTCTTTTTTTTTTTATTTCTTTGGCCTTTATTAGGAGTGATTATGAGTTGTTAACCACTTGCTTTGTAATTGCATACTAATACTTTTAAGCAGTTAAGTTGTTTTAACGTCCATCATCAGATAACTCAAATAGCAAATAAAACAAGTTACTTCTCATATATAAATATTCCATTTTAAGTTGGAAGCTGAGGATGTAAGTATTCAAGGCCAGGTTGGATGGGGCTTTGAGCTGCCTGGTCTGGTGGAAGGTGTCTTTGCCTATGGTGGAGAGTTTGGAACTAGATGATCTCTTACGGTCCCTTCCAACCCATTCTATGATCTTATGAGGACTATAGGATATATTGAAAAGGAAGGAGTCCCAGATAGAGAAAGGGGGGGAAAAATAGTAGATTGTGGGAAAACAAACTAGGTGCAAATTATGTTTTGAATTGTGAAAATGCTTTTAGCTGTATGGTGGTTGCAATGAAGCTTGAAAAACAAGTGGTTTCTGGGGTCAAAAAGAAAAAGTACTGCTACAGTAGTTGGACATACCAGCTTGCTTTTTCCTTGTATTCCTGTTTTTTCCTCAAATCTTGTAGGGACAGTGAGCAGCTTTGAGTTTGGTTTATGTTCTCAGGCTGTGGGTTCAGCCTGTGTGACTCCTGGTGTGGAGCAAACGTATTAGGAAAAAACCATGAACCAATAAACCACACCCCCAAGCAAAACCCTGACCTCAACTTCTGCTTGGTCATTCCCATGCTATGGGGTCTGGAAATAACCAGGCAGCAAGAGATGCAAAAGTCATTTCCATGTACTGGTAGCTGAGCTGTAAAACCTGCCTTCATGGGGTGGTTTTTGGAGGGGAAAACACAAATAGGTTCAGAATGCAAGTAGAAAATGGAAGAGGATGCCTTGGTGGGTGATGGACATAATGCTTTGGATGCGGTCTTCACCTTTGGAATCCCATCTGCTCTTGGATGCTGGAGGTTGAACAAGTGTTATTTGGCCTGAGGAGGGTGGTTCTCCTCAGCTCTGGTTTCTGAGGCACCCAGGAGAAGGGCTGCAGAGGGGATTGGATTTACAGCATGGTATGGTATGGTTGAGGGAGGTTTGGGGTTTGTCTTTTCTTGATTTTTTCTTAATCTAGGGCCATGGCTAACAAGCAGCAGTTCTGCTTGCATGTGCCTTGCAGCACTGATGGGAAGTGTGTGGTGAAGGCTGAGGAACTAGGCAGGCTGGAAACTGATTTTTTTAACATTGATATGTTTTCAGCTGGGCTGGATCACTTCCCTGATCTGGCTTCTTGGATTACCATATAAATCTGTACTGGCATAATGCGGAGCGAAGCTCGGGACATAGAAGCATTGGGATAGGGGATATGGAGAGGTTACTTATGAAAATTCATTTCAAGGTGTTTGTTTCACACTAACAAAGCGCTTGACAGCAGTGCTGTTGCCTAGTGTTCCCTGCTCCCAGTATGAAACAGCCCCAAACCTAGTCCTGCTGCTGTCGTTGCGTCAGGGCCAGAACAGTTGTCGATGGGTGAGAACCAGGCTGCTGAACTCCTTCCTTGGGCACGTACCCGCGCAGTGGCAGCACAGGACACAGAAGCCCTGCTGCTCCTTTTTCTGTCTGTCCTTGCACTGACACGCTATTTATGTTCAACTGAAACTAATAGGCAGCTGTTACCTAAATGTGCTAAGTATGATCCAAAGACATGGAGACAAATGGGAAGGAGTGAGTGGAGGTTGGCTGCTCTACTTAAGCCAGCACCATGTCCAGGAGGAGACTAAACCGTCGCTTCAACAGTAAGTGACAGAGATAAAGAGTGGATGAAGTCACTAACATTTCCTAGATTAAAGTGTGTTATGGGTTTGGAGTGCAGGCCTGGGGCTTCTTGTGACAGGCTGCCCATATAATCCATGGTCTGCTCTTGAATTTCACAAGACCAAATGTGAAATGCCTGTTGAAGTTGGCAGAAAACCTACTCGGGATCTGTGAAGCAGGGGTACAGCCTTCAGTTTAAGAAATCAACTACTTTTTAGTACCTTGTTGAGTGATAAGCACAACTGAGGGGCACAGAGAAGGGATTTCCTCTTGAGTTCTCGATTTACCTTTGTCAAAATAAAACCTGCTACTCCCCCTCTTTATCCTGAGAACAGGTTTAATCTTCTCTACCCTTAAACTTGATATTTAATTAGAGAATTGGTTGTGAGTCTATTGATAAATACTTCATAGGGGATAGGAAGGACTGTTTTAGGTTGTGTTAGGCAGATGTTGCTGCCTCTAGTCCAGCAGAGCTGCATGTGTGGGGTTTTGTCTTGGCAGGCCACGCTGACTGTACCTGCTCCTGGGGGCCCTCAGGAGCAGGGTGTGGGCTGCTTCCACCCTTTGGTGGCAACCACTTGCTCCTGCGCTCCTCCTTTCTGGAGCTGTGGAAAGGCAGCATGTTCTTGCTTGTTAGTGGTGCAGTGGAGGGAGAGCTGGAGAATCTTGGGAGGGATAGTGGCTGGGAGTGGGCTGCGCCTGCCAGGGCACTTCATCCTGCCTGGGGTTGAGAAATGCCCAGGAAAGATACTGGATGAAAGCAGGTTACATGGATTCTCCTGGCTGTGGCAACTGGTGCCTGTTTTGCTACATGACCTTCTGATGACACATGGAGAAGGGTTTCAGTCTGTGTTGATTTTGTGTAACCCTAGCAAGGGGGTAAGGTACTTCTGAACTCTTTTGTGGAAAACCAGCTTATGAAATTCCTTGTGCTGTGGGAAGTCACTGTCTGGCCCTCGGGAAAGAGGAGAGAGACCAGAGCTGCTGCAACAAGTTGTCTTGAATGTTTAGTGTTTCGGTAGAACTTAACTGTGTGGGTTTTTCTTTCTGGCGTGGGTTTAACTAGAAGTTTTGTGTGGGTTTAACTAAAGTCTCTGCATGTTTTTGTTCTGTGCTGTAGCTAAAACTACTCAGGGCTTTCTTTTCCTTTGGGATTGGGTCTTTTATCTGTGTAACCTGCAGAAATACCGATTTGTGTCTTGCATTTCTAAACTCTGACTTAATGCTCTCAGAGGGAGGACTGCTGGCTTGGTTGCTGTTGAGTATGGAATTCCTACACGGACATCCATACTTGGACAGCTTCTTTCTTGAGAATGCTTTTCAAACTGGTCCTGTCATATTTGCACTAATGATCAGCTCTACAGATACTAGATACGGTGAAGCAGTGTTGGACTGGGGGAGTGCTGGAAATAGTCTCTTCCTGGTAACATGGGTCTGATGTGGGTGCTGCTTTGTGTACTGGGAGTTCCTTTAGTACTGCAGCCTGATAGGGCTGCAATCCACTTTGTCCTCAGTGGGGGCCACGTTGGCCCACGGTCTAAACTTCAGAATCTCGGAAGATGATGTTACAGAGGTAGTATTGTGGTAACTCCAGGGGTTCACCCATTATAGGTCAGGGTGCAGTACCACTTGCTCACCTGTCTTTTGATTTACGAGGCTGTTGGAAGGTTCATTAGAACTGGTCTGGTCAAGTTGTCTCAGCTGTGGCTCATGGAATTGAACTTGCCTG